CCCTGTTTTTACATAGGATGTGAATCCTGTGTGTGCATGACTACTCCTTACACATGTGTGACAGGTCTATACAATGCTACCAAGGCTGGTGCTGCTCAGCTGTGGCATCCTGAGGGAAGACCCTACTCTTTGGAGATCTTAGGAAGGTGAAGGATGTGCAGTTTTGAGGGTAATGGTGAAAGTTGATGAAAATTGCTCTTTCTGGGATCCACAAAAGGAGTGCAAAAAGATCCAGGTATAAAGGAGACTCTGACGTTTAAGGAAATAAAAATATCAAAGAAGCTATACTCAGGAGTTATGAGGAAAGATGGTAACTGGGGCTGGCGTGTTCCAAGCAGTGGGAAATAAATCACAGCAGACAATGTAGTACATGTTGAACAAGAACACAGAATTCTTGCTGGAAGGAATCTCATAGCTGCAACTTAATCATCTTTTTATTAGCATGCCCTAAAGGTTTGGGGGATATAAATTTTGCAGAATAACAGCTGGATTGTGGAAGTAGGCCACTGAATTAAGAAACAAATCACAAAAACATGAAAGCATAAAGTTAAGCTTCAGCCCTGTGTAGTCAGGAGGAATACAACTGCTTCCTTCTGATGAGGCACACTTGAGCTCTGCCTGAGCTGGTAGCCGCTGGGTTACAGTGGGTGAAGACCTTAGTCCTGCAATACGGGCTCCGTAAATCTGGGCCTGAGCATGAGGGCCTATGCCTTTCCCACAGGACCTTCCATGAAAGTCCACTTTCTGGTCAGGATCCCTGGCCCCAACAGGCCATTTTGAATTCAACATGTAGTGCAATGAGAAGAGGTGAGTTGGCAAGAGTGGTGAAAAAAGAGGAGTTCTTACCTTTTTGCTAGGAGGCATCTATTGTGGATTTAGAGGACCCCTTGCAGGAGAGAGTCAGAGCTCCCTGAGTGGTGAGTGAAGAGCCTCTAGTGTAAGGCACTTGTTGAACATTACAGGACACTGTAGTGCTAAAAAGGTCAACACTGTGTCTGATGGGTCGTTCAGTGAAGAAAATGGGAGGTGGAGGTATTTCTGTCTGTCTTCCTCTTTCATATTCTGCTGCAGCAGCAATAGTGTTGCTGAATGTTGTCAGTAGTGCAGCTTCTCCTTTCCAGAGCGATCCACAGAGGAGAGAAGACTGCTAGTTGTAAATTAATAAAGTTTGAGTGTGTAATCCAATCTTAACCGCCATCCCTTTTGCCTGTCTCCTCTTTTCACTGTTTCTGCATCTTCTTTATTTCAATCTTCTGCTTTCTGTTTGACAGACTCCCAAAGGCAGCAAAGGTTGCCCATCCGCTGTTAGGTTTGCCTCTGTGCCTATCTGCTGTTCTCCTCCATTTATTCTGTAATTTAAAACACTGTTTGGGGTTCTTTTTACTCCCATCAGACATAAAGAATGACGGAGCATTCAGGGAGCTATCAGCTCTTTTGGACTCTTTTTGTCTTCTATTCATCATTTTGTCTTCATTGTCCTCCTTAATGTAGCTGAGACATTGAGAGGATCACTTACTGTGAAAGACAATATTGCTCACTGTCCACAGAGACGTCACACGTCTATTCAGCCTCATGCATAAGGCGAACTCTGTGTGCAGTATTTTACACTACAGGGGACAAAAGATTTGAACCCTTTCCAGATAAGTTAGCTTATATTTTCAAATGCAAGTATCTTAAGATGAGACAAGGTAGCACCTTTTCAGTACACAGATTTCCTCCAGTTTTGAAATTTTGAAGATTAGTCTTTCTAAATTGAAGTGAGTTCAAGTGCACAAACTTGCACTAGCTTTATTCCTATTCTTCAAAATATATCAGTACGTGAACCAGTGTGAATTATTATACAGAAAAAAACCCTAAAAGCCATAATTAGACCTCTATTTCTTACACTTCAAAGGAGAGTCAATGGGTGTTCAAAGTTACTGAGATTGTGCCTGTTTACTTAGAGACCTAAAATGGATCTAGGAACTCAGGTTTAAGAAGCATTTTTTTTTTTTAAATCTTAATCTGATATCCAGTGTATTTGTAAAACATCATTCCCTCTGATGCTCAGAATGACTCATCAAATATTGAAGCAAAATATGTTTTAGAATGAATATTTTGTAGGAAGGTACTCCTGAGAAAACTCAATGAAATGTTTTATACTCAAGAGTATAAAATGGGTGAAAAATTCATACTAAAATTAGATTTTGAATCATTATATTTTAGCATACATTGTTCACATTGATTTTTTCTGGTTATTTTTTGATTTCTGTCTACTTTTTTTTTTCCTTATGGATGTTACATTATTATTTATTTAAAACAGGTAGCAGTACCCTGGTTTTATGTTAATATGCCCAATGTGAGGATCTGGCTCCATGTCTCTATTTTCTATCTGTATGTATATGATTGTGCTAATCTGTTAGTGCCTAAAAGTGCATGCTCCAGTTCTTAAGAAAACCTTGGTTGGTGTAGTGGAGTCCTCTCAGCTACTACTCAGCATGTGACCTCTGTTGCTTGTGATAAAGAAATGTACTTATCACCAAAAGCCTACAGAAGACTTTCGCAAGCTAAAACCTACAAAAAACAGGTACTTCTAGGGAAGGAAACTTTCCATTCAGTGAGCTTGTATGGCAGTGAGATGTTACTGGAATGTCTGGACATAAATCGATATTCAGAAAGCAGGTTTCCTCTGGAGTATTTCAAACTGACTGTGAATCTTTGCTTTCCCTCCTTAGACATACAGACGGTTTTCTATGACTGAACTGTGATTGGAAGTTACTAAAACTAATATTAGTGTTGAAAGGGTGGCAAATTTAGAAGATGTTAGTATAATATGTTTGTATTTGCTTTGTAATAGTACATTCTGCCTTTCATAGCCAACTCTGAGACATACCATGGTAGTAAGTGACTGGGCAATGAAACAGACTGATGGAATTCGATGCTGATAGTCGCAAAGTGCCACATGTGGGAAGACACAATCCCAACACTGCATGCATGCGAATGGACTCCAGAGGAGCTTTTGCCTTGTCTGTCAGACAAAGCCTTGTTTTGCAGGCATCTTTTCCCCGTGCAAGGAAATAAAATGTATGAACAATGAGAGAAAAACAACTGATATATTCCATTCAAGTTTAAATTCACCACTAGGTCATGCCAAGGACTTTGAGAAAATTGAAGAGACTGTTGTTTAAAGGCAGCATTTGGTTTATTCAACTTTACTGAATTTTCCATGTACGATTTTGTGGTCATATAGTCAAGAATATAAATTTTCTAACTGAACATAACCAAAAAATGTGGTGAAAGATTTCAAGTGGAAATCTGTATATGCACAATTTCCTTTTTCTTAGCACAGCATAAATTAACATATTTCAAATAAAAACAGTTTGAAAGAATGATGTCTGAACAAATAAATGAACAAACAACAACCTACAATTTATTTTATCCACCATTACAGAATCTATAAGCAGTATGCCTTTAAGCATTATGGGCAGCATTAGCATGGGGATGGAAGAGAAATAGGAGTAAATTGCAGTTGACTGGCAAAAATCAGGCATTGCATCGCAGTTGCCAAGCATAGGTTAAAGTATTCCAAGCATTTGACACATGACATGGTTTTAGATGGCAATTTCATATTCTCCTTTATTTTTCACTATATGTGTAGCACTTCAAATTGGTCAGTAAATCCTGTAAATCCTGTTTTGGCATAAGCTGACAAACAAGGCACTCGGGGATATGGGAATCTGCATTGTAATTAGCTTATGTGGTTCTGATCCTTTTCTGCTTATATATGTATTAATATCTTAATGGTGAGGGCGTGCTAAACACACACATCCGGGATATGTCTGTTGGAAAAGTGCTGTCATAAACTATTTGGCGTCTGTTTATGCATAAAGACTGTCTGCTTTGTTGTGTGATAAACCTTGAGGAAAAGGGGAAGAAAAGGAATTCCCCAGCGAGTTCTCATGGCCTAACATTATCATGAGCCTAACTCTGATCCTTTTTAAAAAGTTAATGAATTAATTCAGAGATGAATGCTTTTGTTTAGGAGAGAGCAGCTACTTTGCAATATGGAAATTTCTGAGAAATTTCATTTCCATAATGTTCATTTTTAAGTGGAAAATAAAGCATGGGAGAATCCCAGAACATCATGTGCACATAAGTCGCTCTATCTGTTAATGTAACAAAGAAATGAGCATCTTTTGTTATGGAACATGGGCAAGAAAAACGACAGTCCTGGGAGGCTTCACTATGGAAGTCCAATGCAGTTCTGTCTTCACAAAATTTTCAGCATCTCTTCAGGTCAAATGTGCTGTTTTTTGGCTTGACACGTTTGTCTGATGCCTTCAAGACTGAACCTTAAACATACTCTGAAAGATTTATACAGGAGCACGTTCGAATGAGTCGTACATGTCCTGAATAGTTCAAAAGATCAAATGATGAACTGAAAATGAGAGGATACTACATACTAGTTAATATTGACAAGAGGTGTTTTAGGAGAATGATCTGAGTGTCCTATCTCTCTACATTGGTTATGAAACTTTAGCAAATGCTTTTTTACAGATTGAAGAAATTAAATGCAGTTTTCTTTTGAGTACTTGGTGAGATGTTACTCCCAGGGGTGTTTGGGAACTGTATCTGCTTTTCACTTCCTGTTTATGCATTTATGTTCCTCACAATGTGAATAAGTAATATCAGTGTGAATGGGATTTATTCTTTCTCAACATTTTTAAGCCAAGGTGAAAATTATCGGTGACATAGTTCTTATATTTTATTTACTTGTGTCATTTTAGAATTTCCCCCTTTTCTGGCCACTGTTTTACACACTTCACTGCCAGCTGTTGGAGCGGATGGCTAAAAAGAGCAAAGCACAGTTAGGCAGACAGTTTCCCTTTGCTAATCAATATGGTTTTCCTGAAGCTTCATTTTACTTTGTAAACTGGTATAGTAGTAAAACATGAATCCTGTAATAAAGCACATATTGTTTCTTCTCTTAATTTTCCTGACAGAATCATGAATAAACTGGCAGACCAGCAGGACCACATGATACCATGAAGAGAAGCTTACAGGTCCTCTATTGCCAACTGTTTAGTAAGTAAATATTCTTTTTTTATATATACTTCCTGTAAAAAAGGAAATATTCAAATTCTTAAGTAAGATAGTGATATTTAGCAAACCACAAATCAGGGAGGTTCTTAAGCATGTACTTTGCTTTAAGTGCATAGAGTGAAAGTCAGATTCTCATGTTCAATAAGGTACTTGAAGATGTAGAAATAGCAAGTTGAAGGTGATTTTGCAGAGTCCCGTACAAGGGAAGAAGTGTTTGGCTGCACCAAGTGATGGGGAACATGCTCAGAAGAGTGAGATCAAGAAGTGGAAGATGGTGTTTGGAAGAAACAATGAAATTACTTTTTTATGATTAGGTTTTTGTCTGGTTCTCAGTGGACAAAGGGATCCCTCCCAGTTGGCAGATCTGCTGGTAGTCTCTCTACAAAAAGATCTTGTAGTGGGGAAAGGGATCCGTGGATTCACACAGCCCTAAAGGCTGTGTCAATTCCTGAGAAGTTCATTTTTGCTGAGTGTGGGCTGTTGGAAAAGCCTATCCAATATGAAAGTTTAGCAAAAGGATCCAGGTAAAATTTAGACTGCGTGGATAGGGTCTGTCTTGCTCACAGGAGTAAAGCAAGATTTCAGATGTGAAACAAGTACTGTTGGAGCATTTCTGTAGATTGAAAATTTCGTTTTCAAAATCACCAGCAACAACTTTTCTTCAAAATTTTAGAGATTAAATAAAATAAGAAAAGATGAAATACTATCACTTCCTATCATATATTTTAGAAAGGAGTTTGCTAGATTAGAGCAGTTGGAAAAAGTTTTTTATATTGCGTTTGCAATTCAGCAGAATTTCTGACTTCATGGTATGCCTTATGGTACGTAGTTTTGTGTGGATTTCTCTTACTCTGTCCAAGCTAGGTCACAAACAGAAAATCATGCTTAACCTGCACAGAATGAGCAATGCTATTACTTTCATTGGTATGTGTGAAAAAATTACTCTAACTTATAGACTTTTACGAAAGCCTAATTAATGTGATATAATGGGTCCACCCATTGCCATCAGGGTATAAAATGAGAGATGTTTATATGCTTTCATAGTTTGACTGGTTTTGCTGTTCTTATTTACAACACAGGAGGTACTCAGGTGTGTCTCCATGACATGAGGGGAAATTCTAGAGAGATCCCCAGTATGTAAATATTGCATACATACTGCACAGTAACTTCATCCTAAAATGATCTCAATGAATTCTGTAGGGCTGCTTGTCTGGCCTTTGGCCAGGCAGAGAACATGAAAATTGGGGATGGTACCAGAAGGCTGCTCACTAAGGTAAAATGGGGTTACACCAACAAGTTGTTACTCTTGCAAAACTCTCGCAGACATCAACAGAAATTTTCCTGGAGCAATATTAAGTTCATTGTAACGAAAATTTGAAACTGATTTGTAAGAATACATCTCTGCTAATCTGGCATTAAAAAAAGGAAGGCATAATGTGTATTGAACCTATCGTAGTGCTTGATCTTTCAGTGTTTTCTTTCTTTTAGTGTAATGCTTCCCTGCTTGGCAGTAAACCCTATTGCTATTCCTGCTATTTTAAACTGTATTTTTCAGGGTACTGTATTGAAGATCTAGGCAGCAAATAGAGGAACACTGAAAAGGCAGAGGGAAAGAATGAGCAAATTATATGTACACTGCATGAATAGGCAGTGATACTGTGAACTCCATGATGTAATTTGAAAGGATGAATTCTGAAGGTAGCATTTCTCCTAGCAGTTAATTTAACTGCTTCATTTCTCATAGTGCAGCACAGATGTGCACAAGATGTAGATATCATTAACAAATCCAGCTGTTACAGTATGTATTTTGGGCATATGGAATATTTTTTTTCACTAGTTGATGGTTGGTTCGTTGGTTAGCTATTTTTTAAGGGCTCTGTGAGAAGATTCACCAAGTTATTTAATCCGTATTAAGTAAATTTCTTTTAGATGCCTGGTAAGTACATTACTTCAGCTTATTTTTTCCCCAGTTGCCCACGATCCTGCAGACAATCTCCAAATACTGCAGTCTTCACCAAAGGAAGAAGAAATGGCTTTAATGGGTCTCCTGTAGCTGCTCTTTATGCTGTAGGCAGTGCCTGCAGTGTGGTCTTATTTTGTCTGCATAATAAAAGGAAAATTGCTGCTTCTATAAAAAAAGAGAGAAAAAAAGCACCCTTCTCCAACTCCATTTCCACTTCTCTTTGTGCTCTATGAGACCTGGATTTAGCTGTGTGTCTGCACAGTACCTGGGAGAGTGGGACCCTGGCACTCACGTGTGTCTGCACACCCCACCTGGGAGAGTGGGACCCTGGCACTCAGTAGGACTGCTAAGCTTTGGAGCTGCATAGATATATGTACATATTTATCTGTTTTTTAAACTGGTGGGAATTGTTAGGGAGATTTGTGAAAAAATCAGGCCCATATCTAAATGCAGTTTTAAGAGGGTAAATGGAACATCCTTCTCTGTGAATTTTAGATGAGTTATATAATTGGTCTGTTGCCGTCTGCACGTAGTCTTCTACTGTGGCTCCCCAAAACAGCATTTTCCATCCATTTATGTTAATCAAGAATGATATGTGAAGATGGGACTAGCAACAGCTGCTGTTTTGAGTATGGTTGTAGCTGCCTTAAATGTGATCCCAGTTGTCAAGAGATAGACTTTGTAAAAAATGCAGTGCTACATTTGGCCCAGTACAGGGACTCTGGGCCATGCTGCTTTACCTCTAGTCATTCATAATTTATTAATTAGTAATTAAACATGTAGTATAGCTTTAGAGAAGCACTGCTTTCGAGCTGTAACTTCCATGCTGCTATCTGATCTGACATCTCTAAAACATACAAAAAGCATAAAAAGATTAAAATAAAAATTTTGGAAGGGGTTTCTTGATTAGTGAGAGCTTTGAAGTCACTAGCTAGACTGCCTTGATGAAGACCAATTAAAGCAGAACATGTGCCCACAATTTGCAGCCATTTGTTCCAGGCACATCTTTATGGATGAAGTTTGTTGCCTCTGTAATGATGAAGATGTAAATGCCTTTCCCATGAGGCTCAGTGATCTCCATTTTTGATAAAGACCTAGAGTTATGATTTAAGCCCTGCAGCATGAGCCGCAATATGTCTGCATTTTCTGTAATAAAACATGTACATCATAATTTACTGTGCATGCAGTTTTCACTCAGGAGTTCCAAGTTGCATATAAACTAGGAAGGCAACTGGTGAAATCCTTGGCGCACAAGCCGTATGTGAGACTTTCTTCTTCAGACATTCATTTGCTTGAAAAGTAGAAAGACTTTTGTTTTCTGTTTACTTACATCTCCAGTGTCTGCATGAGGACCTGTCACTGTAGCATCTGGAAATAAATGCCAGCTTGGGTATTCCTTCATGTCATTATCATTTAGTGCATTCCCAGGCATCACTCTTTCGTCTTTTAGGCCTGGCACAGAGCCCAGTAGCATCTATAGGAAAAAATCTGGTATGTATGGGCTCGTGCAGCCCACTGCAGCAGGCTGAGCAAAAATGGCAGTGAGTGGTTGTGCCTTAAAACACAAACTGTCCCAAATCTTATACTTCTTGCTCTGGATGCAGTTCAGCTTCCTGTTCCTTCAGGTTCCTGTTAAGTCTCCTGCAGTGAAGCTCACTCTGTAGAAAGGGTTAGTGCAAGCCCTACAAGCCCCATTTAGATCTGCCTTGGGTCCCAGAGCACATCCCTCTGGTCATAAATACTTGATAAGCAACATGAGATTGTCAAATGTCTGTTTGAGAGATAACTTGATATTAGAGATAAATGTGGCCGGAAACACTAGGGCAGATTTGTCAGGGGACCACGGAGCCTCCATGCTGAAGACCCAAGCAGAAAAAACATGTCAGGAGTGATAGGGGTCATCTAGATGATTTGAGAGGCTCCCGTCAGGCCCTCTGACCCTGGCACCACACAGATTTCCTCGGCTGGATCCTCAGTGCGGATGAGCCTGCGTGCTTTGACAGAGCACTCACAGCTTGCCCAGGCCATGTTTAATTAACCCATATCAGGAACTGAGGGCTGATGTGTGTATAAAGATCCTGGGGATGACTTGATACAGATCATGGGAGAGTTGCTCTCTGTCATTCATGGGAACTTGCAGAAAGAAAAGAAAGAAACATCCTTGTTTTCTGTGGGATTTGTAGGTGTTAGCTTAAGCAAAGGGAACAGCAGGGAAGCGGGTTCCTAGCAATAGATTCCATCTGTTTTGCTTAAAATTGGAAAGGTAAACAGCCTCTGGCTATGCAGTGTTTCATGTACAAAGCTTTTCGGGATGCTCACTGAGCTGGAGCATTTGTATTTTATGAGTCACGTGGCTTGGGGACAGACCATCCATCGAACAGCTCACAGCAAGCAGTAAATCTACACTTCTTTTTGCAGAAATCAATTATATATTGTTGCTGAAGTTTCTCAGCCAAAAACTTGGCTTTTTTGAAAGAACTCGCTACTTTCCATTTCCCTTTTGTTCCCTTTTCCCTGGAAAACAAACCTTTCGAAGAGAAGTTTGACAAAATGACAAAATGCCTTATAAAAAAATGTATTGAATGTGCATTTCCTTATCAGATGTATGCTCTGGTGTCCTTGATGTGCCCTTTATTGAGATTTTGGTTGCACACACAAATGAAGGAACATGTTTCTATTCTCCGACTGGGTAAGCACAACTCTGAATCAGATTGCTCTTGTGATTCTAAACTCAAGCTTGTTCCCATGAATAGTCTGCAATATTTATTTTAAATTTGCTGGTTCCATGAGCATTCTTGTCCATAAATACATTCCATTTAGTTAGTCTCACAGGGCACAAAATCATTGAAGAGTTTGAAATATATATATGGAATGGGTGGGGGGAGAGGCTCCCTGTTCTTCCAGGAGAAGAAAAAAATGTAGTACATGCAATAGGACCCTCCCAAACAAATAACATGTTGCCAAAACTTCTCCACAGTTCTTGTAGATTTGCTGAAACATACAAAGATGTGGAAACAGC